TAGTTTCAGTGTGCTTGAAGGCAGATTACAATTAAAACCATTTTAGTCATAAGGGTTTAGAGTAAAGATTTACTTAGATTGCTCTGAAATGCTGATAAACGGGAATTTGAATACACACGTTCCTCAACTGGAGAAGAAGCAGAGGTGGGAAGTATAGTAAACTTTGTAGTACATCTTTACTCCACTACTTATTTCTCTGTCTGGGTTCACAATGTAATCAAGCGTCGCACCCAGTTTGGTGAATATCATTGTTTAATCAAGGAACTGCGCCTGGATGACTGCCGTTTCCAGCGGTATTTTAGGATGACCTGAGTCCAGTTTGATGATCTTCTAGCTCGGGTTGGTGTCAGGATTTCCCGGATGGACACAAACTACAGGCGTTCCCTCTCAGCTGCGGAGCGCCTGTCAATATGTCTCCGGTAAGTAAGGATCAACAGCAGGACGCCAGAGGGACGTCAGAGGGAATCCCAACGCTGATTGGTTTCAGCGAGAACGCTATTGTGAATTTGACGCCTGAGTTGAAAAAATTGACCTCTCGCGTTTGACGCGGCCCCCTTCAATCGCCTCAATCGCGTGATTCGCGCCGCATCCACCGCTTCATGCGCGCCGTCGGAGCGAATTCGCGTCTGATCGCGTCTCTGCATTGACTTTACATCTAATCGCGCCGGCCCCAAACGTCGCATCGCGTCCGGTGTGAACGTAGCATAACAGGTTAACTAACTGCACTCACAATGTGCCAACATAAAAATGCACCAGGGCTTAAACCAAAGCAGGGTTTCATTAAAACTCACCAAATGTTAGCTTGTAAACGCAGCCCTGGAATAAGATATGAGCCCAACATTCAAAATAAAATATTTAAAAATGACCTTGTTGACCATCTGTAACTGACACATATAATCGGTATCCAAATGTACTGAAATAGGTTTGCCTGAAGGCTGAATGCCTCCATCTAGAAAGCTGTTGCTGGGAGCTGGGGAGAAGCTGGGTTCAGCCTTGGGTCCCCCGACAGTTTGGTGCGTCATCGCAAAGTGCACTTCAGCAAGCCCAAAACCACTTCGGAGACACAGCACAGCACAAAGCCCTGCACCTTGACCTCTGAGAAGAAAAGTTAGAGGCTATGTCAGAACCCTTAAAGGGTCAATCCAACAATGTAGTTTTGCACTTCCATAAATGTCACTCAAACATTTGGGATAATTCAAGTGGTTTTAATTTGCTATCATAGATGAATAGTCATCAGTCCAAGCATGTGTGGACCATTCTTAGATGTCTCCTTAACAGTATTCAGATTAAATGTGCAGTCTCGTCAGGTTTTCCCTCCTGCGGAGTGTGTGTGAGAAAGCTCCCACAGACAGTTTTAAGTGGAATGAATGAAGTGAGAAATGTGAATGGGCTGAAGCTGAATTAAAGCACAAGGGAATAGTTACAGTACAAAAGACCTTCTAAGAAATGACATAATCACTGGCAAGTGAGGAGGTTAGACACATTACTATAAGAACACGTGTCATTGTTAAATATGGTGTTATTAGCTGAGTAGTAAAAAAGAATCCATTATGAAATATTTTGCATGTTTACTTAACTGACAATTCACTGACATGCCTTGTACCTGTGAACACAATGTACTTATAGATCTCCTATTATACTATTTTTCATCAATATATTATAGGTCTCGCATATACAAAACATGCATTGTAGCATCCCATAAACCTCTCTGTTTCAGCCCTGTTTCAAAAGTGCTGATTCTCTGTCTGTTACTTTGGATGAAAAAAGGGAGCCCCTCCCCACCAGGGACGTGGGAAGTCAGTCAGAGCTGGGGGTGCGGGGGGCAGGGGGATTTTACACACGAAATGCAGCAGGTTTTTTTCTAATCAGAAGACGATTTATTGTTGATTGACGCAGCCGGGTAGCAATAACAAAGCACTTGAACTTTATAGCGCACCGGATTGTATAACAATAACAGATGCAGAGTTAACAGAGATTAAACAGATTAAAACGGAATAGGCCTACATGAATAATCTAGGTTTCGAACAGTGACAATTTACACATTTTACACAATTGTACATTTTTGTGAATTTGGCTGTGCAATATGCTAGAAAAGCGTTAGGTGAATGTATTTATTTATTTTATTTAAAGGGGACCTATCAGGCAAAATTCACTTTTTCTTTTATACACGAATATGTGTCCCCGGTGTGTCAGGGAACTCACCAAGTGTCAGAAAACACAACCCTCTCTCTTTTCCTCCATTCCCAATCTCTGCAACGGATCTGATACAGACTGATACAGATTTGAAATATCTCTAATGTCAGAAACAAGGAGCTCCGCCTATATGGTCAACTCTCCACCTATCAGGAGGAGACAGCCACGGCCATTGCCGTTAGAAAGCGCTGGAGACGCTGTAGTACATATGCCAGGCCTGTAGGAGGCGCTGTAGTCTGCCACAAAAGCAGCGAAGAAGACCTCACTCAGATTCAGGTCTTGCAAAAACAGGGCTAAAAAATTGCAAATAGAGCGAAATGAGGCATGGCTAAAATGCATGATCTGTTTGGTATTTTGAAAAAAAAACTTTGTAGACATGTTTTATATAGGTATGGCCCTACAATATATTATTCAAATATAGCACGATAGGTCCACTTTAAGTGAACACAGAGCAACCATCCGAAAATATTAATAACGAGTAACTCTGAATTTCTCTCTCACTCTCTCTGACTCTCTCTTCGCGTGCACGCAGCATAGGCTACAGAACACCGAAGGTGGTCTTTTGCTCAGGGGTGGTGGAAATAAGTCACAGTCTGTGCAGTCATTTGTTCCTTAGCAACAGCTTGTGAGAGCAGCACATTAATTGGTGTTCGTTTGAATGTTTGTTGACGGCCTCCGTGTGTTGATGGGACTTCTCATGGTCCTTACATTTTTCCCCTGTCTTTCGCCAGTTATTAAACCGTCCTTTAACAAAACTCCCTTTTTCCTACTGGTAGTGTGTTTAAAAGAGCGACCAGTCCAGTGATGAGGAAGTAAAACAAATATAATGTTTTGAAAAAAGTGGACCTTTAGGCTTGATATTGCCTGCTGTCCTCAAAGGCCTGTCTGGATTTGAAATGTGTGTATGCGTGTTTTGTTAACAGTGCTAGTGTATCTGAAATGTAAAAAAAACTAGTCAGATTACACAACAAGTTACATTTTTCGGACATTTAATGTGATTGTAAGTCAATTTTTATCCTTAAGTTGAGTCACAAAGCACTCAGCTGCACTCGATCCAGTGAGCCTAAAGTAAAAGTGAATGCAGATTGGTTAATTATTCATGAAATCCACCATTACACTGATACTGGCCCAGCGCCCAAAATATGTGTCCTCATTCCCCCTGAAAACATTTGGTGGAAAACTGATTTTTAGCTTGAGCATTAACCCCTGCAGTGACAAACTAAACACTCATTGTCTCAGCAGGAGGTAGTAAAACCTGATAAGTCTCCAATTCGATTTTGTTTTAGGGCTAATTATCTATCTTTACCACTGATATTTCAGGACCATGGACAGATGCATATCAAAATGTAACAAAACTTGATTCTTAAATACATGAACCTCCCTATCCTTAAGTTTAGTCCATGCTTCTTCCACCACTGTTGTTAATGAGCGCCCATAACTAAATAGCATTTTGATTAAAAAGCACATTTGGTAAAGCTTGTATAGATTATTTGTTAAAAAAACTTTTTTTTTTACACAAATTAAATAATTGAACAACAATTCGATCGGGTTATGCCCCTGATGAAGCAGACTAAAATGTGTATTATTGAGTTGTTGATTTGATAGATTTTGATAATAGCTATTTTATGACTGTGTTGCTTCATGGGAGTCTACTGTGCAAATCTGTCAAAGGATAACATCATCCATCCTATATCATACAGAAGCACTTAACTCCCCCCCTACTGCTCCCCTGACTGAACCAGCATTATTAAACATTCAATGTGTGTGTGTGTGTGTGTGTGTGTGTGTGTGTGTGTGTGTGTGTGTGTGTGTGTGTGTGTGTGTGTGTGTGTGTGTGTGTGTGTGTGTGTGTGTGTGTGTGTGCGTGTGTGTGTGTGTACGTGTGTGTGTGTGTGTGTGAGTGTGTCGTCGTCGTACGTGTACGTACGTCGTAGTCGTACNAAAATAATCAGATGCATTTTGCTGTCTTTTTGCATATTAGAAACGGAGTTGGCGACACTAAAACTGCAATGTAATTTTTGTGAAGCAATAATACATACGTCGTATGTATTATTGCTTCACAAAAATTACATTGCAGTTTTAGTGTCGCCAACTCCGTTTCTAATATGCAAAAAGACAGCAAAATGCATCTGATTATTTTTAGTATTTTAGATCTTTCCAATCCAGAAGAGAGATCTTTCTCTCCCCGTCTGTGTGCGAGGGGGCGGGGCAGTTTACCCACATGCAGCTGCTACATGCAGCAACACACACACACACGGAGGAGATGGCGGAGAGAACGCGCTCCGAGGTGTGGTTAAGCTTTACCCGTCTCGATGTGGACAATGCTCGTTACCAAAAGTGCAATAAGAGTTTAGCATGTAAGGGCGGTAACACGAGCAATTTGTCTAAACATTTAGCAAAAGTGCTCCACATCCAGACGGAGAAATGCACCGGGTTCGACTGTCTTTCTAGCAGCTCTGTAGCCCCATCCACGAGTTACGTTTCCACGTCAGGCGTTATGTATGCTAGCAGCAACACACAGAGTTAACTACATTACACAAACATTAGAGGTAACTGAGTTATTTATTTTGTTAAAGTTTCAGCCATTCTGTTTACAGTTCTGTCATCAGATTATTTAATACGATTTGTTAAAACATTGTTGTTTCGTTTGATGTGAAATATGATGTGCTTAATTGAAATAAAAAGCAATGTTAGTTTTGTTCACAATTTGTTTAGTTAGTTTACCTTGTTTTTTTTCCTCCAAAAGAACTGATAAGAGTACCGTTGAAGGGCCGGATCGATAAGCGGTATCGATAAAAGTAGTAGTACCGTTAAAACCTTAACGATACCCATCCCTAAAGGCCGGAGACGTATGGGTACATCTTTACAGGGGTCACAAAGATAACTCACCTGAACTGTCCTACTTCAATGTACTCAAACTGCTTCAGGACAAACCCTATGAACACCTGGAAGAGAAATATCCGAGTGAGTGAGCTAAATTCCAGCAGTTGAAGGTAAACTCATGCATATGAATGCGTGTTTAGTTTTACCTGATCAGAGTCCAGCAGGCAGTAGTTGACTCTGAGCTGCACCAGCTGTGCGAGCAGGTCCAGGACTTGCCTCTGCAGCGCCACCGAGGTGCTGGTGGTGTACTGCTTCAGAGCTTTGATGACCAGCGGCTCAAACAGACGGATGTGGTTGTGGATGGCATTCTGGGAAAACAAAGAGGAGGCCACAGCTTTCAGAACAGCAGCAGCTAGCTTAAGCTAATGTGACTTGCTCAAATCGTGTTGACCCTGAAACACTTTTTCAAATTGTTAACTGATGAAGAAATATGTCAAACAAATAAAATGGCAGTTACCGTGTCACGATTGAGAAAAAGGACTTCAAAGTTATCAAATAATAGCCAAAGTTATTTAGGGATGAGGCTTCAGGCTTAATATAATATAGGCACTGTAGACTTCGTTTTGATTCAAATCAACCAAATCCCCAAAATGACCACGTGTTTTTGACATAAATCCATATTTATCTTAGAATGAGTCATTGCTACATCCTACTAATTTCAATAGAGCTGTTCACAAATGAGCAATGAAAAAACAGTGTAACTTTACCTTGTCTCCTCTTTGGCGTGTCGCGTTTGCAATGTTGGACCTCAGCTGGTTCGATGCTTTTTGCATCACATCAAACCATCTAAAAGTGGAAAAAGAAAACAGATTTTTTCAATTTATCTGCACTGTCTTCTTTAGTTGTAAAAACTTAAATGTCCACATTGTTCTACGGATTAAGGATATCTGATTTCATGCTCCTGTTTCTATTCTTTGTGTTGCTACCACTCACCCAGAGGTGTCCTGCTCCTGTTCGGCCTGCACCATGTTGCGTAGGCTGGCGTCGGCTAAAGCCTGGGTGAAGTGCGTGTACGGCGCCATGAAGCAGTAGTGGTAGAGGCCCGGTCGCAGGCTGGAGGAGCCGAGGCGCAGAGCCTTGCCCTGGGAGCGGCTGGGTCCGCTCAGGACGCTCTCGCACTGAGAGGCCAGGTTGGTGCCAAACAGGGTCTTCAACAGCTAAAGAAAGAAAAACGTCACTTAAAAAGAAAAAAAATGGGTCATGTGCTCATGCTCATTTTCAGGTTAATATTTGTATTTTGTCCCTCTACTGTGACACGTTTACATGCTTTAATGTTCAAAGAGTGCTTTATTTTTCTCATACTGCCTGTGCTTCACCCTCGGTCTGAAATCAGTCTGCTCTGATTGGTTGGCTGGCCGGCCCTGTTGTGATTGCTCAACTGCTTAGAGATTTCCGGCCTCTATCATATACAATGTGTTGGAGGGCTAGCCAATACAAGCGTTTTTGTTACGTAGTGATGTCACCATGTTACAGGAATAAAGAAAGGAGACCAAGCTAGGCGTTTTAGGCAGGGGAGAGAAACAGGGATTTTAGCCTCTGGAGACCATTGACATGCACAAACACCTATAAAAACAAACTACAGGGAAGGGAAAGCCCCCAAAACCATAACAGGGCCCCTTTAAAAAAAGTAATAGAGTAGAATTTGTTTAGGTCAAATCATATCTATTTTTATTTATATAGCCTAATATCACAAATAACATATTTGTCTATGGGGGCTTATAGTCTACACAGAACGACTCATGAAGACATATTATAAAACATACTAAGATTACAACGTAGAGCAGACTGTCCAATGAGAAAAATGTCTATGTATACGTATATATAGAATACAGGTTTCAGGAGGATGTTCATGGCAAGCCTGAGCCAGACCCAACTATAAGCAGTGCCAAAAAGGAAAGTCTTAAGCCTACTCTTACATTTCGAAGGGGTTTCTGCCTCCCGAACAGAAACTGGGAGCTGATTCAACAGGAGAGGAGCATGATAGACGTGTTGCACTTAACAGTCTTCTCTAAAAATAAACATGCCTACAACTCCATCAAAAGCCACATTACTTCCATTTGGATTGAGTCAGACACATGGATTGGTTTATTTTCTGTAATAAAATGTAATCATATTTATAATGGATTATTTTCTTAATTCTGAGATCAGACTCATTGGCTGGCTCTGAATAATATTAATAAAAGTGTATCAGGCAGAGTGATTGTTTTTTATTTACGTAGAAAAGTACACTTCTGAAACCGTTACCGTTATAAATGGGCAAACTGATTCACAATGACATCATCCTTTATTTCTTAGTTTGGTGTCGATAAAGGTGCAGGCAACATGACATCCAGCTGGTAGTGCATGTGTGTGTGTGTGTGTGTGTGTGTGTGTGTGTGTGTGTGTGTGTGTGTGTGTGTGTGTGTGTGTGTGTGTGTGTGTGTGTGTGTGTGTGTGTAAAAATGTATGAATCGGAATGACTAATAGAGCAATGAAAACTAAACAATGTAACGTATCAGGTAAAGACACTACAAGCCATTGGTAGAAGCTAGTTACGCACGTCAGGATTTTCTTACAAGAATGAATACAAAGACTTATAAATTTTACAAACAGAACCACTCGTCCGTCCGGTCGTCTGCCGTGTCCAGGTGGCGGCATTTTGTTCAGATGGTGGCAGCCGTTGAAGATGGTGGACGGGGTGGATGGAGTTCGGCGTATGCTGCATAGGAGTTTCCGATGTGTACGGTCATGATGTTCCAGTTTCCTCGTAGGTGAAGTTTATCCAGATGGTCATTAGTATAATCACATCGGAGTTCAGAAATAGACGGTGACACGCTACATGGTCATTTTGTTTTAATTTTAATTACCAGTCGTCAAATTAGATATTTACTTCAAAGTTTTATTAGAACATGTCAAAAGGAGCAAAGAAAACAATTAACACAAAAAGAAGAGCGGATCCACTGCGACCTGGAAGGTGTCAATCCAGTCCTCTTCAACCTCCTAAAGACGCAAGTCGAGATCTACAAGTAGAGAGTCGAAGGACCTCGAGTGGTGTGATGTACTGTAGTCGTTTCATTTCTATAATTTGTCGAGACAAACTTAGTTCTGTAACAATCTAATAATCTTCTTCGGTTCTTCCTCTTTTATTTTCATTGTACGTAGACCAAAGAAGGATATTCGGCTTGACATGGTAGTGTCAACAAGTGTACCTGTATTAGTAATTTGATATTACACACAACCAAGAAGCAGTCACACCTACCTCCTTTAGAAACTCGAAATGGAGTTTCAGGACGACAGAGGTCCTCTTGGGTGGTACGCCTGTGCAAACCATGCTTGTCGCCAGTCATTATTACACAAATACAGACTACTATCCTATAATGAAAACACAACACATGTCAGAAAAACAAGCACAACACCGTCAGAAATCACGCAAGGTTGTGACTCGTCACACGACGCTGGCGACGCTGGGTAGTGTCTCACTTCACCATGAATATGCTGTCCCGGCATTCCTCGACCAAAGGGACTCGCCTACCAAGGTATAGTAGAAAAATTGTGTGTGTGTGTGTGTGTGTGTGTGGTGTGTTTGTGTGTTGT